GTTTAGGGTTGAAGATTTAGGGTTTAGGATGGAGGGTTTAGGGTTTAGGGTTGAAGATTTAGGGTTTAGGATGGAGGGTTTAGGGTTTAGGGTTGAAGATTTAGGGTTTAGGAAGGAGGGTTTAGGGTTTAGGGTTGAAGATTTAGGGTTTAGGATGGAGGGTTTAGGGTTTAGGGTTGAAGATTTAGGGTTTAGGATGGAGGGTTTAGGGTTCAGGGTCACGGGGACTTAGTAAGTAGGTTCTTAATCGGGATAACTAGGGTTACTTTCTGGGTTATAGGGTTGTTAACTTACTTACGAAGTCCCCATGACCCTCCAAGTAAGGTCATTCCCCTTACTAAGTCCCCATGACCCTCCAAGTAAGGTCATTCCCCCTCACAGTAACTGCTACCACAATAGTTAAAAGGAGTTATAATAGCCTCATAAAGACCTCTATAAGGGCAGATTCTGTAAGGCAGAATGACTGACCCAATATACACCGCTGGCTTTTCAGCATTTGGTAGTTTCCCTAAAATAGAGGTACCCCAATATAAACCCCAAAATACTATAATCCTCATTATTGGGAGGCACCAAACAAGTACCCCTAATTTTGGGAAACCCTAGACCCCACATATAACCCTATAAACTGCATAACCCCTATATGACCCCCTATAGCCCCTAAACCCTAAATTCTACTTACAAAATGACCCCCATATAACCCCTTTTAAGGTCCCCCTAATTTTGGGAACCTCGAACCCTAAACCCTAAACCCTTTCATCGTAGTTTCCATTTCTTTTCCATTATCCCAATGTACCCCCTGTATGACCCCTAAAACCTCTGGGTAAAACCGTAAGTCCTAATTTTGGGAAACCTCAAGCCATGGAGCAGTACGGTTTTTTTTTAAATATCTTTGACCTTCCATCCTACAGCCTATAGTCCCCCTTAAGTAGATATGGTTGAAGGTTTAGGGTTTAGGATTAGGTACCCTCAACCCTGAATCCTAAACCCTCCTAAACTCTAAACCCTAAAGCCTAGTCTAAAAACCCTAATTCAGGGATATTGGACTTTCTTGGGAATTCCGTCAGCTGGTCCCACATCTCCCGCAGGTGGCCTGCCCACCTTGATTCTCCAATTCTGCGCGTTTCTTGAAGCGCATTCTAACGTTATGCCTCTCTTGACAGAATCAACTTACCTCCTATCCATAAATCTCGCACCCTATGAGGAACCCCCCACTACCCTTAGATAGGATCCGTGTAGGTCC